GGATTGATTTTAGCTCCTTTGTCAAAGGTAAGTTGGTTGTAGATGCTTGGATTGATTTCTGGTGTTTATATTCTATTCCATTCATCTATCCATCTGTTTTTTTTTTTTTTTTTTAAACCAGTGCCAGGCTGGTTTGATTATAATTATCCTGTAGTATATCTTGAAATCTAGCATTGTGATGCCTCCAGCTTTGTTTTTGTTGTAGGCCTGGGTGGGTAGTGACAAATTCTTTCACTTTCAGTTTGTAATGGAACATCTTTATTTTAACTACATTCATAAATATGAGCTTTGCAGGGTACAGTATTCTTGGTTGACAAATTTTTTTTTTTAAGACTTGGCATGTATCTCAGCATTCTCCCCTAGCCTGTAGGGTTTCTGATGAGAAATCTGTAGTGAGTATAATTGGGGTTCCTCTGAAAGTAATCTGGCATTTCTCTCATGCACATTTTAGAATCTTTTCTTTATGTTTTACTCTGGAGAGTTCTACTACAATGTACTATGGTGAAGATATTTTCTGGTCATGTCTACTGGGAGTTCTATGTGCTTCCTGTACTTGGATGTCCCTTTCTTTCCAAGTTGGGGAAGTTTTCTGTTATTTTTTTCATTAAAAAGGCCTTCTAATCTTTTTTCTTTCCATGCCCTCAGGAACTCCTAGAACTTGTATGTTGGGTCCTTTAATAGTATCTTGTAAATCTACAATAGTGTTTTTTACTTTTCTAATTTCTTCTTCTTGTTTTTGGTCTGACTAAAATTTCCAGAGATTTGTCCTATAGATTGGATATTCTTTCTTCTGCCTTACCTGATCTGTTGTTAGGACTTTCCACTGCATTTTTATTTGATCTATTGGATTCTTCATTCCTAGTATTTTATTCTGATTTCTCTTTAATATCTCAATTTCATGGGAAAAATTTTCATTCATGTATAATTTTCTTTAGTCATGAACTTGCTTCTGATTGCTTCTAAGTAATCCAATGATTAGTTTTCTGAATTCCCTTTCTGGCATTTCTTCAGTCTCTTCATCTTCACCTTAATATTGAAATGTTATAGTATTTCAGCAAGTAGATTTTCTGCTTGTTTTATGTTTTGCTTTCCGACACTCAGAGGGGACAGTGAGAAGAGACAGAGAGAAAGGTCTTCCTTTTGCCGTTGGTTCACCCTCCAATGGCCGCCGCTGCAGCCGGCGCACCGCGCTGATCCGATGGCAGGAGCCAGGATCCAGGTGCTTTTCCTGGTCTCCCATGGGGTGCAGGGCCCAAGCACTTGGGCCATCCTCCACTACACTCCCTGGCCACAGCAGAGAGCTGGCCTGGAAGAGGGGCAACCGGGACAGAATCCGGCGCCCCGACCGGGACTAGAACCCGGTGTGCCGGCGCCGCAAGGTGGAGGATTAGCCTATTGAGCCACGGCGCCGGCCATGTTATAGTATTTCTAATCATTTCTTCCTACCTCTGCTGTCCCAGGGGGCGTGTGTGGAACTTCAAGAGAAGTTCACCAAGCTCTCCTTCCTGCTGCTATCTGCAGTGCCAAGGACCTGTAGATTCCCCTCTCATTTGGTCTGCAGGGCCTGGTGTTCTCCCCAATTCCAAGCTTCCACTGTTTTTTAATTTTTTATGTGTATTTGCTCTTCCACTGTGGATTGGACTGTCTCAATTTTTTTTGCTGGGTTTCCTGCTATGGATTTCCCATGGCTTTATCTTAGGGGTGTACTTTCTCTCCTTTTTAAATATTGCTTTTGCCCTGCATAAGTTGGACTGCCCTGTTGCTACTGCACCATATTGGAACCACCCCCTCCCCCAATCTTAGCTTTTATGTTTGCCTTTCTTTAAGTGAGTTCATGACAACTAGTTCTCTTGGGGAACAACCATATAGCATTTCAGCAATATGTAATATTTCAACAGACATGAGAGGGGAGGGAGGGAGGGAGAGAGGGGGAGAGAGAGAGAGAGAGAGAGAGAGAGAGAGAGAAGCAAAGGCTCCCATCCACTAGAGATTCACTTCCTAAATGCCCACAACAGCCAAGACTGGGTCAGGCCAAAGCCAGGACTAGGAACTCAATCCAAGTTTCCAACATGGGTGGCAGAGATCCAACTACTAAAGCCATCATGTGCTGCCTCCTAGGATTTGCATTGTTAAGGAAGCTCAGAATGAGAGCTGGAGCTGGGAATTAAACCCAGACACTCTGAAATGGGACATGGGCATACTAACTGATATATTTTTTAAAGATTTATTTATTTATTTGAAAGGCAGAGTTACAGAGAGGCAGAGGCAGAGGCAGAGAAGGGGTGGGGGGGAGAGGTCTTCCAGGAGATCCTTCTGGGTTTCCCATGCTGGTGCAGGGGCCCAAACACTTTGGCCACCTTCCACTGCTTTCCCAGGCCATAGCAGAGAGCTGGATCAGAAGTGGAGCAGCCAGGACTTGAACCGGTGCCCATGTGGGATGCCGGCACTGCAGGCATTTACCTGCTTTGCCACAGGGCTGACCCCCTAACAGATATTTCATGCAATTGCTTACAATTTCATGACATATTTGATTTTAAATAATTATTTGGTGTATTTACTCATTTATTTATTGAAAATTTATCTGTTGTCATGTGGCAGGAACACGGTAAGATACCAAGTGCAGTTCCTACCTGCCAGGTGTGCTTGGGGGCAGATTTTGGTGAATGTTTCATACAGTAAGCAATTCTTGAGAGTATCTTGGAGGATGAAGAGAGGAAATTCCAGGTAGGGGGCATAGTACGTGGAGTGTCTATATGGCATAATACAAGTGTGTGAAAGCATATTGCAGGTAATTTGCAGCAAGCTATTAATAGGGCTGAAGTGTTGCATGTGAGGTAGAAGAGAGCTGAGGCTGGAGAAGCAGATCTGGACTACAGTTAGTTCTGTAGTTCATGGGAGGATCTAGAGACTTTATCTTAAGCTTTCAAGATAAAGTCTGTAGATCCTCATATGAAAGCTACTGAATTATTCAGAAAGCTACGGAATTATTTTAAATAGAACCAGGAGATATAATCAAATGAATGTTGGAGACTGAAGCTAGAAGCAAGGAAATGAGGTAGGAGGCAGTTCCCTTGTTCCCACTGAAATTTAAATAAGGCTGCAGAATTAGAGATGCAGAGCAGACAGATTAAAAATTACACAACAGTGCAGTGATTTAAGCTTTATCATGGGTTAAATTAGAATGCAATTTTATTATCTGCTAACAGCATCTTGCCTGTGGTAAGGTTGGGAGGTGAAGGAGTCTTTTATTTTTTTATTTTTATTTATTTTTATTTTTTTTACAGGCAGAGTGGACAGTGAGAGAGAGAGACAGAGAGAAAGGTCTTCCTTTTTGCCGTTGGTTCACCCTCCAATGGCCACCGCGGCTGGCGCACCGCACTGATCCGATGGCAGGAGCCAGGTGCCTCTCCTGGTCTCCCATGGGGTGCAGGGCCCAAGTACTTGGGCCATCCTCCACTGCACTCCCTGGCCACAGCAGAGAGCTGGCCTGGAAGAGGGGCAACCGGGGCAGAATCCGGTGCCCCGACCGGGACTACAACCCCGTGCGCCTGCGCCGCAAGGCGGAGGATTAGCCTAGTGAGCCGCGGTGCCGGCCAGGAGTCTTTTTTTTTAATTTTTAATAATATTAAGTTTTCTCATTCTCATCTCTTTCTTTCTTTCTTCTTCTTTCTTTACTTCTTTTTCTTTTTCTTTCCCTCCCTCTCTCCCTTCCTCCCTCCCTTTCTCTCTCTCTCTTTCTTTTGATTTTTTTTTATTTGAAAGAGAGAGAGAGAGAGAGAGAGAGAGATATCTTCCATCTGCTGGTTCACTTCCCAAATGGCTGCATCGGACAGGGCTGGGTCAGGCTGAAGCTAAGAGCGAGGACCTTCTTCTGGGTCTCCCACACTGGTGGCAGGGGCCCAGTGACTTGATGCATCGTCTGCTGCCTTCCCAGGTGCATTAGCAGGGAGCTGGATTGGAAGTGCAGCAGTGAGGATGGAACTGGTGCCCATATGGAATGCCAGCACCATAGCAGCAGCTTTATCCACTATACCACAGAGCTGGCCCTAGTGGGTTAATTCCATGAGCTCTCCAAAATGGGCCTGACTCATAGATATTTACCTTTTTTATTTTAATGCCTATATCCCAGGAATAGATGGCTTACATTTCTGATATTTTCAATACATGAAAGTAATTTTAGATTTGTTTTAATACAGTAACTAAATTCTCTGCTGCCGGTATCTGCTTAGGGACATTGTTCTCTTTCTTAGTCTGGTGAGTGCTCTAGACTCTGCCTAGGATTAGAGAAGCAGGATTGTCTCCTTGGCTCTCTTTGACCTTTAGAAGCAGTGGCAGACTTATTATGTCCCTCCTTGGAAATACTGTTACATTCAAGAATTGGGTACCATGGGAGAAAAGAGGACTAGAAGGATGCTTGCATTTTAATATGCAATGTAAGTCTTTTTACTGTGGTCTAACTCAGTCTTGCAAGAGAGGGAAGAGAATGTGGATAACTTTTGAGATATACTTGATCAAGTAACTTTCCCTATTAACGTTTGAAATGCTGATGTGCCTTGCATAGAACTAATTATACTGACTACTCCAGGGTTGATGGCCTTGTGAAGTGGAAAACCCATTCTCTAGTTCTTATAGAATGATTTGAACCTTGGGAATGGGATGGAGGCTCTCAGATGGAGGACTATGGATTGGAAGCTCGTGATAATATTTGACAATGTGCTCAATATGACACATCTAATTGCTTGGGAAGAATAAGCTTTTTTTGAATGTGTTCCAATCAGTGAAAGATGATGATAATTAAAAATTTGAACTTACACTTGGAAGTAAAATCGATTGTTTATAGAAGACTTCTATAATCAATATTTTGTATTTGGTGGTCTTCAGAAAACTGTTTCCTGAATTCTCTTTTTCCCCCTTAGGCTAATATTTGAATGTGGATGCAAGTACCAAGAAGACTTCTTTGCAATATAATTTATCTCTTACCAATCTCATTTTTCTTTCAGTTATTATCAGATGCAACACAGCCTCTTGAAAGCCAGAATTTTTCTCCTGTGGTGCGAGATGTAAGTTATGAGAATTTCTTTCCACAGTTGTAGTTTTATCACTGTCATCCTGACTCTTTTCTTTCCTTTACCTATTCCTTCTCCTTGTTTCACTACATCCCTCACTTTTTCTACATTTGTATCAGTCATGAACTCCTGAAAGTAAAATTCGTGTTCTAATGAAATGTCTTGTGTTATATACACTTAGGCAGTGATTACATCCAATGGTACATTGACTGACAAATATAAATACATCCAGAAACTCCGGGAGGGCAGGTAAGTATTGTTCAAATCCTCTTGCTTTATACATTTATTCTTATGTTGGAGATGAGTATTTTTAATACTTTAATAGAATTCTTAAAATCATTAGATTTATACAACATGTAGCTTTTGATGTCTGTAAATGTAGGAAATCTAAAAGTGACTGTTTGGAACTAATGTATGTTGTTTTCTCCTGAAGAGTATTATAGCATCATTTTGGCTATGTAATATCTTACTTTAGAGTACTCAAGAAGTCCATGAATTGTGAAATTAAAAGATAGGCTCATTTTTATGTAAAATTTTTTGAAGTCCATGAATAGATTCTTTTTTTAAAAAATAAGATTTTATTTATTTATTGGAGAGGTAGAGTTACAGACAGTGAGAGGAAGAGACCGAGAGAATGCTCTTCCGTCTGCTGGTTCACTCCCTAGATGGCTGCAACAGCCAGGAGCTGTGCCGATCTGGGTCTTCCTTTGTGGGTGCAGGGGCCCAAGGACTTGGGCTGTCTTCTACTGCTTTCCCAGGCCATAGCAGAGAGCTGGATGGGAAGAGGAACAGCCGGGACTAGAAACAGTGCCCATATGGGATGCCGGCACCACAGGCAGAGGATTAACCTACAGTGCCACAACACCAGCCCCTAGATTCTTTATAATATTCATTTTCTACAATCTTTTTGAAGATCCCACATATAAACTTGTGTATACTTGTGCAAACAAAAGTACAATAGTGTTATCTTTTTAGTAACTCCTTTTTCTTTAGCATTTTGTACATTGTCATAGTCTGTTCAAGAGACATTCTGGTCTAAGTTTCTAACAACAGAGTGCACTACTAATTCCTTGGTATCATTTTCATGGTTTCATGTTGAAATTGGGGAATATTTTTTTAAAAAATGTAAGGCCCCTAACATGATTTTTAATCAGGTCCCTTGGCAAATAAAAAGTGAGACTGAGTTACTCAGTTGTGGGTAAGCCAAGCAAGCATCCAGCTTCTGCACCTCCCTAGAAATGTTGGGAATTCATGGTCTATGGACTTAGAATACCTCAACAATGACAGCAGATTGTTCCTCATTGTACAAAATCTAAAATGTGTAATGAGAACATTCATACAGGAAACTCCTGTGGAAGTTCTTATGGTTAGTAAAGGGATAAATTGTTGTTTCATGGTCAAGATTTTAGTTTGGTTTTGGGAGGGCAAGATTCTGCTATTTTTAAAAAAATCAAATTTTAATTACTTCTCCCCCCCCCCCTTTTTTTTTTGGAAACAGAGAACGTGCTCAGTCACTTTCAATGGACACCAAGAAAAAGGTCTTGGTTCTTGGGTCTGGCTATGTGTCTGAGCCTGTATTAGAATACCTGTCAAGAGACAGCAACATAGAAATAACAGTAGGTAAATATGCCCTAACTTTTGAAGAATAAAAGCTAATTTCTTGTCATGTTCACCTTGTGAATTTTAGATGACGATTTTGTTTCTATGGAAAAAATGATTTTTTGGAGATGTTAAGTGTGTGTGTGTGTGTGTGTTTTTTTGCTCTGATCACTGGTATAAATCTTAAAGTTGGACTTTTTAAATTTTTGAAATAGGCTCTGATATGAAGAATCAAATTGAACAGTTGAGCAAGAAATATAATATTACTCCAGTGAGCATGAACATTGGTAAACAAGAAGAGAAGTTGGATTCCTTGGTGGCCACACAGGATCTTGTCATCAGGTATCTGTTAAGAATGAGTTCTGTGTATTTTGTTGTTTTTATTTCTCTTATCTTATTTTCCCTCCCCCTTTTTGTTCCCTCCTCTCTCTTCCCTCCCTCCCTTCCTTTCCCCTCCACTCCCCTTCCCTTCCCTCCCCTCCCCTCCCCTCTTCTTCCCTCCATTCCCCTTCCCTTTTCATCTCTGATTAAAAAATTTTAAAAGCAGGATGCACCCAAAAAGTGCACAAAGGCCAGATGTATCACAATGTATTTTTATAAGTAAACCCTCTGTAAGCACCACCCACCTTCTGTAATAGATTACCAGCAGTACTTCAGAAGCCCTTCTTATACCTCTCTCCATTATCTAACCCCACCTCCAAAGGTAAACACTATCCTGGCTTCTAATATATAAAATAATTGTTGCCCGCTTTCAAACTTTATATAATTGGAATAATTCAGTACATCCTCATTTGTGGCTGCCTTTTATCATTCAACATTGACTGTGAGAATCATCTGTGTCATTGTTTATAATTATAAGATTTTTTTATTTTTTATTTTTTGACAGAATGGACAGTGAGAGAGAGAGACAGAGAGAAAGGTCTTCCTTTGCCGTTGGTTCACCCTCCAATGGCCGCCGCGGCTGGCGCGCTGCGGCCGGCGCACCGCGCTGATCCGATGGCAGGAGCCAGGAGCCAGGTGCTTCTCCTGGTCTCCCATGGGGTGCAGGGCCCAAGCACCTGGGCCATCCTCCACTGCACTCCCTGGCCACAGCAGAGAGCTGGCCTGGAAGAGGGGCAACCGGGACAGAATCCGGCACCCCAACCGGGACTAGAACCTGGTGTGCCGGCGCCGCTAGGCGGAGGATTAGCCTAGTGAGCCATGGCGCCGGCCCTGTAATTATAAGTTTTTAATTTTTCTCTGCTGTGTAGTATTCCATTGCATGAATATACCATGAGTATTCATTTGAATATTGATGGATATTTAGTTGTTTTTGGCTATTATGACTTATTTTGTTGCATGCATTTTAGTATTTATCTTTTGGTAATCATATACTTACAGATCTGATAAGTATACCTAGAAGTACAACAGTTGGGTTATGAGGTATTTATGGATATTTATGTCCCATATATTTTAGTGTCTATCCCTTATACTTATAAAATTTAAGTAAAATTGATAGATTCTCTAGCCTTATGAACACTTTCAGGCTTATTATAGGAAGAGATCTTGAAATAGAGTGTTTTCCACCCCTAATAACAATGAAGACTTCATTCTAGATACAGCACAAGAGGTTTTCAAATATCAAAGTGATAGGAATAGCCATTTATTCTTAGAATAAAATTTTTTTATAATTTTTTATTTGACAGGTAGAGTTATAGACAGAGAGAGAGACAGAGAGAAAGGTCTTCCTTCCGTTGGTTCACTCCCCAAATGGCTGCTACAGCCGGCACTGTACTGATCCGAAGCCAGGAGCCAGGTGTTTCTTCCTGGTCTCCCGTGTGTGCAGGGGCCCAAGCACTTGGGCCATCCTCCACTGCCCTTCTGGGCCACAGCAGAGAGTTGGACTGGAAGAGGATCAACTGGGACTAGAACCTGGTGCCCAGATGGGATGCTGGCGCTGCAGGTGGAGGATTAACCAAGTGAGCCACAGTGCCAGCCCCTTAGAATACAGTTTTTACAAGATTAAAGGAATAAGTTACCTGCTCACTCAAAGTGACTGCTTAAAAGCTCTTAGATCAGATTGAAATTGTGTCTTTGGAGGTATCTCTGGAGGAAATCCTGTTAGTCCCACTTTGAAAAAAACAGACTTGAGAAAATAGACACAATTACTTGTGGGAACTTTTAAATTATCTCTTGATATCTTTAAATATGACTTTTTTGGGGTGCTTAAAATTTTGCTCAATTTATACAAATTTCATGTACATTATTATTCAGCAAAAATTGACTCTGACCAATAGACTTTGTCTGGCAGTGATACGACTATGAAAAAATCCTGATTAAGATAAAATGTCGTAACCTTCTATCTGAATAAAACAAAAACAATTTATCCTGCCATTCCTAGATATGTAAATATTTCATTGTTTTTTATGAAACAGAAAAAATCAAGCATAAAACAGATTTGGATTGAAATTTGTAGCAAAATATGACAAGACAAAGCAGTTATCTACTAATATGTGTAAATTTTAAAATTTAGCAAACTAGTGCTCTTTAGTAAGATTCAACATGAGCAAAATCTACCTTCCTTTTAAAGCTTTTCTTATTTGTGGCCTTTCTATACTTAGTAATGCCATTAAGCATTATTTTCTATGGTGTTCCTGAAATAATGTTTTAGAGAAGAGGAGAAAGATGCTTCGATGTAAACTTTGTGATTGGGATCACAAAGACAAAATGAGTAAAGAAATGTTTCACAAAATATTTATGCGAATTTCTTATGGTTTTAATTTTTCACTTTTAATTTTCACGATCTAAATGCCTAGTACTTGATTTTGATGTATTTCTGAAAATTAGATTGTTATTTTGTGTATGTATTTCACAATTGACATTTCCAACCATTTAGATTAAGTTTGAGTCAATTAAGATAATTCAAAAGTTATGTCCCCTGTTGAGTGCTTGTTATATTATATTCAAAATATTATAAACTCTAATTCCTTTGTCTAAAGCAGCCCCATTATTCAAAGTCCTATCATTCTAGTTCTCAGTGTATTGTTAGAACAGTGAAGATAATGTCAATGTTTTAAAATATTATTGGATCTTGGGGCTGGTGCTGTGGCCTACCAGGTAAAGCTACCACCTGCAGTGCTGGCATCCCATATGGGTGCCGGTTCAAGTCCCAGTTGCTCCACTTCAATCCAGCTTTCCCCTGTGCCCTGGGAAAGCAGTAGAGGATGCTCACCACGTGGGATTTTAGCCAACTTCATAGCTTTTACACCAATCAAAATCATTAAAGCCCATCTCTTGGCCGGCGCCGCGGCTCACTAGGCTAATCCTCCGCCTAGCGGCGCCGGCACACTGAGTTCTAGTCCCGGTTGGGGCGCCGGATTCTGTCCCGGTTGCCCCTCTTCCAGGCCAGCTCTCTGCTGTGGCCAGGGAGTGCAGTGGAGGATGGCCCAGGTGCTTGGGCCCTGCACCCCATGGGAGACCAGGAGAAGCACCTGGCTCCTGGCTCCTGCCATCGGATCAGCGCGGTGCGCCGGCCGCAGCGCGCCGGCCGCGGCGGCCATTGGAGGGTGAACCAACGGCAAAGGAAGACCTTTCTCTCTGTCTCTCTCTCTCATTGTCCACTCTGCCTGTCAAAAAAATAATAAATAAATAAATAAATAAATAAAGCCCATCTCTTCCCTTGTTGCTTCGTCGAATCTCTACTATTTAATGTAACATGTGGACCACCTTGAGTTAGTCTGGGATATAGGGAGGTAAAAGAAAGCAGTAGTGCTTGGGCTCCTGCACTCATGTGGGAGACCTGGAAGAATTTCCTGGCTCCTGGCTTCTGATTGGCACAGCTCTGGCATTTTGGCCATCTGGGGAGTGAACCAGTAGATGGAAGGCCTCTCTCTCTCCCTCTCTCTCTTTGCCTCTGCCTTTCTGTAACTCTGCCTTTCAAATCAATAAATAAATCTTAAAAAATATTATTAGGTCTTAAATCTTCAGTGTGAAGATAAAAATCCCCACTTATTAAGATGATGGTGTTGGGGGCTGGAGCTGTTATGTAGCAGGCTAAGCCTCCACCTGTGGCACCAGTATCTGATGTGGCGCCAGTTTGTGTCCTGGCTGCTCCTTTTTCAATCCAGTTCTTTGCTTGTGGCCTAGGAAAGCAGTAGAAGATGGCCCAAGTGCTTGGACCCCTATACCCATGTGGGAGACCAGAAGAAGCTCCTGGCTCCTGGCCTTGGATTGGCCCAGCTCTGGCCGTTGTGGCCATTTAGAGAGTGAACCCATGGGTGGAATATCTTTCTCTGTGTCTCTCCCTTTATCTGTCCCTAACTCTGCCTCTTGAATGAAAAAAAAAATGATGATGTTGTACACTCTGTATTGATATCTTGATTCTAACAGTTTTGCAAATATTTTGCTCAATTGCTTTTAAATGGCTAGCAAATTTGGTAATAATAATTTTTGGTTAAAAAAAGCCAAAAACATAGAGATCAAGTGTTTCATAGGGTTGTTGATACATGTAAAATATGTATAGAATTTTGTTCTACATGATAATAAATCTAAGTAGCAATACTGAGTCTATCAATCTGAGGAAGAAAAAATTCCCAAGAAGTAGTTTTATTTTGTTTTGTGTAAAATAGAGAAAATCTGAAATATGCAGCATGGATTTGGCAAATACAGTGATACAGTATGAGATCATTTTAAAATCAGTACTCATTTTTTGTCAGTGGTGTTATACTGCCTTACTAAATAGACTAATAGAATTTATATAGTGTCATGGAATTGACAGGCTGTTTTATTATTCTCTGAGTCGAATATGGATATATTCACTTATGTTGATATTTATGAAAAGTATTTTGCAGGGGATTGTATGGTGTCAGCACCAAATTAACATGGCAAATCTAGCTTTTAGAAAACCCAGTTTGAGTTGAGTTTTATGAACAGCTTTATCTTTTTGCTCACCATGTGAATTTTAGCCGTTTTTCATAGCTTTTACACCAATCAATATCATTAAAGCCCATCTCTTCCCAGGTCCCTTTGTAGAATCTCTACTATTTAATGTAACACATAGGCCACCTTGAGCTAGTCTGGAACGTGGGGAGGTAAAAAGTACAGCAAGCCTATTTTTTCAGTAGGAAACCCAAGACAGAAATCCATAGAAATATAAGGACAAATGGAATAAATTCCATTAAGTGGTGTGAAATAGCTAGACACCTGCTGAGGAAGGAGACCTGACTCTAGGGGAATCTGGGAAAGCTTTTTGGAAGAAAGTAACTTTTCGGGCATTTTTAAAAAAATTGTATAAGACTTGATGGGAGTGGTTGGATGTTATGAATTTCCCAAGTGGGAGGCGTAGTAAGAGTCAAGATTCAGAGCTGAGAAAAGTAAAGGTTTTGAGTGGAGAATTACAATAGCTCCTTTAGTGCCATATGTGATTTATGAAAGAAATTGAGGGAGGATGTGGAAAGGCTGGGTGAGGGGCATTTGGAAGGGCTTTGGACTTGACATCAGGGTGAATATATCCTATAGTCCACAGGGAGTCCATTGGTCACTTCTGATAGAATCATTTAATTAGAACAGGGACTGGGAATTGAGCTTTAGCACAGGGTAAGGTACATTGGAAGGTAGAGTTGGAGAATAAGTTTCTGATTGGTTTTTGCCTCTGTCTTTAAGCTTGTTGCCTTATGTGTTGCATCCTCTTGTGGCCAAGGCATGCATCACAAACAAAGTTAACATGATCACTGCCAGCTACATCACACCAGCGCTAAAAGAATTGGAAAAGAGGTAAGTTTCAATCAATTTCAACAAAGGATATGAATCTATGGCATTGTTTTTCATTTATATCCAATATTTCCTCTTTCTACCTCTTACAGTGTGGAAGATGCTGGTATCACAGTCATTGGTGAATTAGGTTTGGATCCTGGCCTTGATCATATGTTGGCAATGGAAACAATAGACAAGGCCAAGGAAGCAGGAGCCACGGTGAGCCCCCCTCCCTTTTTAAAAGATTTTATATTTGTATTTGAGAGGTAGAGTTACAGACAGAGACAGGGAGAGACAGAGAGAAAAGTCTTCAATCTGCTGGTTCACTAACCAAATGGCCACAATGGCTGGAAGTGAGCAGATCTGAAGCCAGAAGTGTCTTCCAGGTCTCTCACATGGGTGCAGGGGCCCAAGCACTTGGGCCATCTTCTGCTGCTTTCCCAGGCCATAGCAGAGAGCTAGATTGGAAGAGGAGCAGCTGGAATACAAACTGGAATACTATATATATATATATATCTCCCATATGGGATGCTGGTGCCCCAGGCAGAGGCATAGTCTCCTATGCTATAGCACCAGCCTCAGGGTGAGCCCCTTTATACCTAAAGATCTATTTATGAAAATATCCAGAAAGTCTAATTTTTTTAGATATAGAAATAATATTTCTGTAAATTTTATTAGTGATTCTGCTGTATTATAGTTCATAAATTGCCTAGAGATTCCAAATAAATTTCTTTAAAATGAAAAAATAGTTAAACATGTCCAAGTTTTAGGCAGCAACCACATTTTTGATAAACAGAAGCTACTATGATATATTGACTTAATAAAAATTTCAGATTTCTTTGGAGATTCTGTATTAAGGTTTGACTTTTAAAAGTGAGGGAGGGGGGCTGGTACTGTGGCACAGTGGGTTAAGCCACAGCCTGTAGTGCCAACATCCCATGTGAGTGCTGGTTCAAGTGCCAGCTACTCTGTTTCAAATCCAGCTCCCTGTTAATGTGCCTGGGGAAACCATGGAAGATGACCAGTGTGCCTAGGCCCCTCCACACATGTAGTAGACCTGGACAAAGCTCCTGGCTCCTGGTTTTAGCCTGGCCAGGCCCTGGCCATTGAAGCCACTGAGTAATGAACTTGAAGATGGAAGATCCCCCCCGACCCATAATGCTTTCAAAGAAAGAAAGAGAGAGAGAGAGGGAGGAAGGGAGGAAGGAAGAAAGAATCATTTTTAGAAAAATGACAGAGAAAAGCCTTTGAAATACCATTAATCTGTTGATGTATGAATATTTTACACATGACTACCATTGAATATGTAAATATGATGTTCAGATTAAATGTTTGAACTTTTTGAACATATGTCATCAAATATCTACATTGAGTACAAAAGTCAGTAGACTAAGCAGAATTGACCTAACACTGCCTTTAGAGGTAAATTTTTTCCTTTTAGTAGTTGTAAAATATAATTGTTATTTTATTGAATGCTACTTGAGTCTGAAGATGCATTTTTGAAAGCTTTAGTTACTTCAGGCAAGAAAAAAACTGACAAATTCACCTCATGTCATTGTCCTCAATTAACTACTTCGATTCATTATTCTTCTTAATTTGCTGATTCTTTTATTTACAGATTGAATCTTACGTTTCTTACTGTGGTGGGCTTCCAGCCCCAGAACATTCAGACAACCCTTTGAGATATAAATTCAGCTGGAGTCCAGTGGGAGTCTTGATGAACATAATGCAGCCTGCCACCTACCTACTCAATGGCAAGGTGAAGGGGACCATTGAAAGCTCCAGTGATTCAAACAGCCTAGAAAGTCCACACTCTTTCCCTGATATGAGGGCCCTGTGATAGTGGCTGTGCTGGCTGTTTCCCCATTGTCCCTCCTTGGGTATTTCCCAGTGTATATTTTCTGTTCCTTGTAGTGTGGGCTTTTCATGGTTCCCAGCTCATTCTTCCTTCATGGCCTTGATGCAAGCTCTTTCTACTATTTGACAGTTCACTTGTCTACTTCTCACACATGTAAATAATAGCCGTCTTTTGATTTATTTAAGCATGCTAAATGTTTACTAAACAGCTACTATGTGTTGAACTTTGGGCAAGACATCAAAGGCTTCCACAATTCCTGATTTCAGAGAACTCACAGCTAGATGACTGTTGACTCTTGAAATGATGAAGTGTTTGGTAGGAAAGGGAAAGGAACTGATGGGTAACACTTTAACTCAACTTCTGGGTAACAGAGCATAAGAATTCTCTTGAGTTTAGTATTATTTTTAGCTTTTTCCAATGATGAATCCATGGCTCAGAAAGAATGTCCAAGGTCATTGGCTGGAATTCAAATTTAGGCCTAACTAATTCCAAAGCCATTTCTTTTCCTTGTCCTAGGTTGTTTAATGACAGAAAATTAGAAACTGGAATAAATAACTATAATCCAATGGGAGAAGTTCCAAAGTATGCCAGTTGCCAGTGAAATAAAGACTGAGGGCAGTTGATTTAGCTTTGGAAGAGGTGAGGGACGAGGGAGAAGGAAAACTACTGGGGAAGAGGGTATGCTTAGCCTTGAAGGGTAGAAGATGCCAGCCAGGCAGGGTACTGCCATTCACAACACAACTGGCTTAAAATAAAACAGGTATAGGAAGCTCAGACAACTCAGTCACAGCTCAGTAGATCACAACAGGCAAAGCCAGTATCCAGATCACAGCTGTTTGACTTCCTCATTTATGCTCTTAACCAAATGAAAAACTCTCATACTGAGGGAAGCATGTGACAAGACCGATGAGGGTGCCTCTTTGAATTGTGTGTCCCAGGCACCACACTTGCCTCACCAAGTTCTGGACCTGATGAGTGACATGATTAGATATGTGTCTTCACAGGGCTAGTGTGGCTTCAGTATTGTGAATTCTCAGTGTATCTGTGCATCTTCATGTATTTGGGAATAAAATGAAAGAATTCTTTATAAAGCAAGATAAATGTTTTTATCAGCCAGGGTCTTGGGTGCTTATGATACAGTGAGGTCTACAGACTTTGGGGGTCACCAGGATTGCTTAAAAAGTGTGGATGCCTGGACCCCAGCCTCAAAGATCCTGGTTCACCAAGGTTTAGAGATTTCTGAAATGTGCAGCTCAATTGACAACAACTGAGTTAATGAGGACACAGCTGTGCTGAAAAGCACTGGTAAACGCCTCAGATTGATGCTGGTAAGAAGCAGGACTGGTATCCCTCACAATGCTACCAAAGACCAGGCCGGGGACAAGGTCTGCAGGATACCAGGCTCCTCTGCGTGATGTGAGCACTGGTGTTCCACGCAACTCCCCAGTTCTATGAATCCTAAAGGTTTGGGCCTGGATCTCAGCTGTTTTCTGAGCACACATCCTTTTCTGTGCTGGGGCCTGTCCTTTCTTGTGTTGCCATCCAAGTGCTCCTTTTACCTCCTGCTCTCTGGGAAATGAGACTGGCCCAGGACTGGCATAAAGTAACACTGAAAGCAGGACAATTTTGTGGTTGAGTTGGACAAAACGCCTACCCTCAAGAGACTGTATAATAACTGATGAGATGCTAACAGTGAGAGGATCAGTGGAGTGCAGCCTATGTAACAGAGAGCGGGGGCTCGGATGCCAGCAGGCCTGGTCTTGTGCCCTTGCTCTGCCATTGCTGGAGGATGAACTTGGGGTTCCTGGTCTGAAGAGAAGAACACTGCCAGGTGTTTCAGGGTTCTTGCAGTGTGACTCAGGGAGGTCATAGAGATCACGAGCTGCTTCACAGTAGCTCGCCAGGCTTGCGTGCGTCAGGTTGTTTCAGTCTCCAGCTGAATTAAATTGGTGGTTGTTTTCAGGTAGTAAAAGTCATTTTTTTTTTTACTTGTAGCTTTCCTGCTTCCATCTTGACCTTCTTTTGTATAAAGGAGTGCTGTCTGCATGTCTTTGACACGGTGGAGGATTCAAAGAAAAAACATAGTGCTTCCTTTTTCTTTGCTAAAATGATACTTTTCTCTGCTAAAATGATATTTTTCTTTGCTAAGATGATATTTTCCAAGGTCTTGTTTGAGTTTCCTCTTGTAGATGGAGTTTTTCCTGACCACTCCAGTCCTGTTCACTCTTCTTTTGTCTGGACCCAATTGAATGTCAGACACTTTGATGTCTGAAGATGTTCTGGGTGTTGTATTATTCAGGCAGCAGTTCAAGTGTGCAAGTCTGTTGCCCAAGCCAAGTTGTTAAGCTTCCCTTGTCCCTCTACTTGCTCTGCTACCATTGCTCTTTGCAATGAAGCAGCCCTTGAATAATTCACGGAATCCTAATGGGGCAGCCAGAGAACCTCTCTGGATTCTGCTTGGAGTTGAAGCCTTAAACTTTTCCAGCAGCTGGGCCAATCTGTGAATTGTGGTGTATCTCTTCATCCTATGTCCTTGCCATAGTTTCCTGCCAATAGTATCCTCCTGATTTTTTTTTCTTTTTTTCTTTTTTGACAGGCAGAGTGGACAGTGAGAGAGAGAGAGAGAAAGGTCTTCCTTTGCTGTTGGTTAACCCTCCAATGGCCGCCGCGGCCAGCGCACTGCGCTGATCCGATGGCAGGAGCCAGGTACTTCTCCTGGTCTCCCATGGGGTGCAGGGCCCAAGCACTTGGGCCATCCTCCACTGCACCCCCTGGCCACAGCAGAGAGCTGGCCTGGAAGAGGGGCAACCGGGACAGAATCCGGCGCCACGACCGAGACTAGAACCCAGTGTGCCGGCACCGCAAGGCGGAGGATTAGCCTAGTGAGCCGCGGCGCCGGCCCTCCTGATTTCTAATGTGATTCTTAACACATACACATACTCGGAGCCAGTGGCCAGCCCTCTCAGCCACCCCCTGCCCTGAATTGGTAACATATATTCATGCCAACATGGCACCTGAGAGCACCATGGCAGGGATTTGCCCTCATCTCCTTCAGTGTCTTCTTCCAAACTGCCCCAGCGAGACATATTCATAGCCTAGGTAAGACCTGCACTTGCTCTGCAAACGTAGCTTCAAGACAAGTTGTCGAGCTCTCTTTGCTAGGCCTTGCTGCACCCTGACTGCAGGCCCCAGCCCCTCCCTTGTAGGAAGTCTCTCCCACTGCCTGTGGCCATTCATCACACAGTTTTCAGGTGGCATGCTCTGCCGTGCCGTCCTATGTCGCTGTTCTTCTCCAGACACTAATCCAGAAATGAGCCTAATTAGGAGGACAGTATGGTAGAGCAGAAAGAACATGAAATTGGGGCTTGAAAGACCTGACTTAAAATCTGCTTATGGGTGATTCTCCCAATCGCAGTTTTCACCTTTGAAAAATGCATTAGTTCATGGGTTACAGGCAGTGTGTATAGTGCAGCCGGGACAGAGTGGGCCTGAATAAGTGACATCTATGTATTTTCTGTTATAATATATAATCATATCTGTGTGATTCCATGTTTGTTTTTAGTGATCAAATTTATTGTGATGACTTGAATATTTGTTCTAAAACACATGACAGTGATGCTCAGTGGTTAGATGTGTGTATGTGTGTGTGGGTAAGTGAAGAGTTAGACTTAGAAGCCTGCAACCTGTCACAGTGAGTAATTAACCACTAATTCTGCAGGGAATGAGTCTTGGGTATGAACACTGACAGGGCATAAAGAAGCACATATTCCCTATGAAACAGAAAATATATCTTTCTGCCTTTATCCAAGTCATTAATACAGTGTCAAAAAGGGCTTATTAATGAACTCCATGATATGCTACTAAAGATACAACTCTGAATTGATGTCACATGTCACTTGGGGCCACATTGCCTAGCAGTCTGTCAATCTCTAAATGAATCATTATTGTTCAGCTTACATTTCCTGGTTGTGTTCATGATCAGTGTATGAACCAGCTGACATATTTCTCGTTGGCAAGGTGCCAGAATGTCATGGTATTTATGGAATTTTTCTTTAACTTTTCTCCCTGATCTTCAAACAAGGAAATAAACCTTTGAATTGCTGTAGGTCACAGAAGTGAGACAAGTGTGGAGACTAAATTTAAGTTAACTTGTGCCTTCTTGATTCGATTTTTTAAAGTCTAGAATCCTATCAGAAGAAATGTGTGCTCAAGAAATGGTAGATAAATGGTCTGTCTGGAAATGTACTTGTATACTGTGAAGTCCAGAAGGGCTTAAGGGAAATTAAATCAAAAGCTTCCGGTTCACACTCTTTCATTTTAGAAGGCATTTAGTGCCCGGCAAGTGAATCCTGGTCTAAAAGGACTCCAGTGGTCCCCACAGTGCGGGCAGTATTCTCCTGTCCTTCTAGACTGGAGCCTCAGGCAAGGAACACACAGAGCCATCTACAGTTAAACTACAGGGATCGGGATCGTTATGTTTGATGACTCCTTCAAGGGAATTCCTGTAAATCCACCTTAAAGTCCTATATCAGACCCCTGTGCAGTGTTGTTTTGTGCAGTTTTAAAGACATGAGCAAAAAAAGGTGTCCAAAGGCACAGTCAGGACAAAAATCCAGTCCAACCAGTGGCCCCAACCAGAATTCTCAGCTCTGATTTTATCTTCCAAGATGCTTTCTGTTATCTCAAGGACAATCATAAAGCTCACAAGCTAAAATAAAGTTTAGTCCTTTCATTAAAATGAAAAAAACAAAAAGCTTTATTTCTGTGTGTGTGTGTGTGTGTGTGTGTGTGTTGGGGAAAGGGATAAAGAGAAGTGCTGAGAAATCAGATAAGCTTGAGAATTGGGGATTTAATTCCATACAAACAGGAGGAGCACTTATTTGAGTCTCGCTGTTTGTTCAACGATTTGAGTTTTGCTGTTTGTTCAACGCATTGTCTTGTGCAGGGGGAGCTGCCCTCTGCTGCCCCTTCCACTAACACCTCCCGTATGTGTGTTCCCAACATATGCCAGAGGTTTGCTACTCTAGGCTGTGAGCTCTTTAGTGTTGCTCTAGCACAGCTTCTGGAACTTGGTAGATATTCAGGAAACGCTTGTTGAAGGAATAAAGGAGTAAATGCAATGCAGTAATTTCTCTTATTAATCACTCTCTCTTTGTTCTTTTCATGATTTGTGTGATTGCTGGCACATACACAGTAGGTGCTCAAGATATGCTGGTTATGTGAATGAAGTATACAAGAGTGGTAGCTGGTGTGGCATCCAAAAGGGCATAGGGTAAAGAAAAATTGACAATATACTCATCATTTGATCATATAAGTCTTTAAATGAGTAGCTGTTACATTTGGCTTATTATTTGTCTTTTTTTTTTTTTTTTTCAAAACAAACTCTGTTGGGACATAATTCACTGCCTTTTTACCTGGGAGTAAGAAAAAAATTTTAAAAGACCTTATATTAGGAGAAACTTGAAAGTGAGGTTTGAAAGCTTGGGAGAATGATGGCCTTGTGAATTACATTCGTGGAACAAATTGAATATGGGATGTGGATTATGATGGTTTCATTAAACATTTTTCCCTGAGCACAGTTGCTTCTTTTTGCAAATAATGCCGATAAACCAAAGGGGAAGAAGCGGTTGTAATCACACCAGTGCCTTTTTGATGTTCCTCAGGTTGTGAACGTAGCAGGGGGAGTCTCCTTTCTTGATGCAGTTACTGCCATGGATTATTTCCCAGGATTAAACTTGGAAGGCTACCCTAACAGAGACAGCACAAAATATGCAGAGATTTATGGCATTCCATCTGCTCACACTTTGTTGCGAGGGACACTGAGATATAAGGTAAGCATCTATACTTTTGTATTTTTAAATTTCTAAAAGCCATTATTTGAGAAAGAGAGGGAGAAGGAGATGGAGGAGAGAGAGAAAGGGAGAGAGAGAGAGGGAGAAAATAGAGAGCTCTCTTGTGTTGGTTCACCCCCAAATGCCCAGGCACCCCCAATGTGGGATTTTCACTGCTAGGCCAAACATTCGCTCCTATTACTACTTTTGATATAAATGGTACATAGAATTAATTTTCTGGAGTAATCAAAATAATTGAGATGCTAAAATAAGTTGGAGCCTATTTTCTCAGGAAACTTGTGAGTGACTGTTTTAAGAGACCCAAATGAAAATAGCAGAAGAACTTGTTGACTGGTTAGGAGATGGGGCAGGCGGAGGACCAGCTTCAGGCTCAGTTCAGTGACATTTGGGGAGCAAAGGACCACACCAGGACCCCATGTCTGTTCGCCTCTCAGCAGTTCCTTCCGGAGTTACAGCAGTCTCAAGTTCCACACAGTGGCACCATCTCTGGCTTCTTAGGTTCAAATCCAGTGGAGATGAAACACTACATCATTCTAATAGTTGAATATATACCTTTGTCTTGTTAGCTAGTACTGGTCCCTGAGGTTAGTGGGATAAAATGTGCCGGTCGGCTTTGGCATGCTGGGCACATCCCTAGAGCTGAAGGTGGAGTAGCATCCCTGGAAAAACGTGAACTGAGCTGGGGAAAAGGAGTGGACTGAGAGGGGCTTCTCCAAAGCAAATCTGACAGATTCTTAACCACAAAACAAAGAGTACATTCTAGAAACCTAAGTACAGTGTTTACTACACATTTATGAATCAGGCAGGGACAGTTTTAGGTATGCCTAAATCAAGACAACCAGTGTAATGATTTCCTAGCATTGCTGATTGCCACTGGCTTGAAAGAACAGAAAGGCATCCACTCACCATTCAATGTCTGAACTCAGCTGGGAGCAGGGTTGGCGCCTTCAGTCACACACATCAGATGAGCTCTGTCTCCCTCGTCATGGCACCTTCTTCCATATGTCTCAAGTGTCCTCTGCTCTTCCTGTGTAGGGTGAGTCATCGGCTTTAGGACCTGTCCTAAGTCCTGGTTGGTTTCACATCAAGTCCTTAACTAATTTTATCTGCAAATATCAAATAAACTCACAGTCTGCAGCTCTGGAGGCGACAACTTTGGGGGAAGGGTGCTACAGCTAGCATCCATAAAAAACATGCACCTTCAAGAATGAGCAATCTGCTTTCAGGGCTGGCCTTGTGGCACTGGGTTTAAGCTGCCACATATGTGATGCCACAATGCTGGCATCACATGTTTCAGTCCCAGCTGCTCCACTCCTGATCCAGCTCCCTGCTAATGCTCATGGGAAAGCAGCGGAAGATGGCCGAAATTCCTGGGCCCCTGCCACTCACGTGGGAGAGCTGCCTGGAGTTCCAGGCTCCTGGATCCAGCCTGGCTTAGCCCTGGTTGTTGCAGCCATTTTGGGAGTGAACCAGTGAATGGAAGATCTCTCTCTCTCTCTCCCCCTCCCCCTTCCTCTCCCCCCCTCACCCTCAATGTCCCATCCATCTCAGTCTCCCACTCCCCTGACAGCTCACTCTCCCGGGACACATACCTGTACCCTGCCTCTCACTCTCCCCCCTATCC